ACTATAATTATTATATTATTATTAACTAAAAAGATTACCGCCTCCAATGACCCTGGAACCACCTGGAAACTTTTGGTCACAAAGTTCTGTATTTTACCACATATGTCAAGTCTTTTCATTTGATATGTAAATTGGGGGTTTTGTACAAAAATATGTAACTCGCAATTTCGAAACGGCGGCAATCTTGGAATCAAATTTTTAGTGAAGTACTGTATTCTACAAGGCAACGACTCTTATTTGAGATATTAGCAAGTATGTTATCCACCATTTTGTGACGGCCGCCACATCTTGATTTGAAACTGTTTTCGTATTACCGTTTTATACAAGTGCTTCCATTTGATATCCATATTGGGGTGATTGAACAAAAATGATTTTTTGTGGTATCACCTCTGAAGCATGACCTATTGTATAAAAAGAAATGATCAAAATCGATTAAAAATTTCCCCTCTTTCATTGAAGTCTATTAAAAATGTCACTTACTGGTCGGATGTTTATCTCGAACGACCCACGTCAAAACTGCTACAGTTTAACTTGGGGCAACAAATTATCTGAATACGTCATTTCTTAGTCGTACACACCGCCGCGTTGCTTCGACTGGCAGCACAAGATAGTGGATAAAATTCGTGTAAAAGCCTATTTGCAGAGGTTTTCGCGCTTCAAAATTGACGCTTCATTTTTGAATATTTTTCAATGAAATTTTCACAGTGCACTAAAAACAAGACTCCACAGGGTGCTATAGAGCCACGTTTTCGTTTTTTCCTCTGGGTTATTTTTAAAAAAATCGAGAAGTCGAACAACAATTATCTGCACTTCCACCCACCATAACTCTGAAAAAAATTGTTTTTTAGAAAAGTGGCTCTATAGCACCCTGGACAATTGTCTTCTAACATACTGTATAAATTTTATTCAAATATATAGAAAAATGGAGCGTCAATTCCGAAGCAGCTAAACCCTTGTAAATGGCCTGAAACTCACTGCGTCGGAGCCGCCTTAAACAGTCCAAACCCGCTCAAATGTATTGCCTTTGTGGCCAGACAAACGAATAAACAAATATAAGCTTTGGTTATGTTGTACTTACGAGCCTTCAAATCCCAAATGCAGAACCTGAATACAAAAATGGGCGGGTAAAAGTCACCGTATAACTGAGAAGACTAGTCATGAGGTATTGTGGCTGCAAGGATATATTTCGAAGACGTATGACGCAATTATGTACAATTCTGCGGACAAAATTTCTTCCTCTTATTATGAAAAACCTGTCGCGGAGACCAGCAAGCAGTAGCTGTGGACCTGTCAGTAATATATAATGTTCATAAACTACTAAGAGCCTGAGTAGTGGGTGCTTAGAAGATAAAATTATTGGGTGTTTTTGTCGAAAAGATATGTTGGAAAATTTAAGTCTACTCCCTAAGCCTAATATGACTATGTAGTATAGAAGGGGGTATGATTTTAGTAACCTACCCTTGGTTGTGGGTCTTGTATTGGTTTTCGATTACATCAGAGGAAAGCTTTGCCTTTGTGACAATTCGAATGAAGTTTTGATTGCTTTATCTAATTCGTCAATTGACAATGGACCAATGAATTTTTTAGTTTTCGCTTGGCAGTCATAAACAAATTACAGCATGTATGCTACTACACTTTGTAGTTTGGTGAAACTGTAAAATCTTGCAATGATTTTCATTTCTTCTAACGATAAATGACAGAGAGCTATGACTGGGGATTTTGGAGCCTCTACATTCAACAAGTCTGAGCTCAGGTTACAATATTGCTAAATAGCCAAGTATTAAGGCTCCTGTTGAGCCAGCTTGGACCTTGGCACCATAATTTGGTTACTGATTATTTCTTCGGGAAATGTACCAGGTGATAGATTGTCAGCCTGGTTTTCATGTATGTTAATATGATGCCAGTATTCAACTCTAGTGAGACTTTGTGCCTCAGAGACACGATTCGCGATAAATACCTTCCGCAGGTGTAGAGATGCACGCAACCAATCAAGTGCTACTGTGGAAGCGGTGCAAAGTACCACTTTATCAAAATTGAGTTTGTGTGCGGTGACGACGTTATTGACAAAGCTACTATAAAAGCAGAACTGCTCAGAGCTCAAGACGATGGATTGTGACAACAGTTAGCAAATATATACAAGATCGGTAAGCCTTTTGAGAAGCGTCAGCAAATACATGAAATTCTATTCCAACTGGATTTGCGCAAAGGACATTTCGAGTTATATTCAACTTTTTTAACAAGCTAAGGGCCGATTTTACCAACATTAATATTATGGACCAATGGGAAAATACCTTATCGAAATGCAATTTGACAGAAGCTGTCAAAGGTCTCTGAATATTAGTGATTTCTATTGAACTATTAAAGAAAATCGTGAAAATTCGACCGTATTATAAACAAGACCACTTTTTGATTCCAAGATGATGCTTTTGTACAGAAAAAACAGGACAAATTTCATGTATTTTGATATATGTTATAGGTTTACATTTAACAATCCGTTATCCCCCTCAGCGAATGGGAATGCGACAAATAATAGATCGATTTCCTTGCTGTTAATTTTGGCAGCAGATTTGGACGTTTGCTAATGCATGGCACTCTCGAATTTACCAACTTCCATATACTGAAAGTTATCATTACATACCTATTGAATAGTGTGGATTTGTCTGTATTTTGCAAAAAAAATAAAATATAAAATACCTTCCATCCAATTCCTCATCTTCCTTTACGTCATAATAGTAATCATTTATTAATTTATGGGTTAATGAATTTCTTCAAAGCAATAAAAACATTATGTCCTCTCCATCCTAAAACACAGATAATATGTGTAAGACCTGTCAATCCCTACATCTTCCTGATGCATAATGCAATTACTATGGACATAGACAAAAAATTATGAAAAATGTTTCACAGATAATGTCGTTTAAGTCCAAAAATCAAAAAAACTAGTAATGTTTATTGTTTGTCTATTTTTCTTTTTTGACTGGCGGGGATATCTATCTGTCACTCGCAGGGTTGCCAAGTCTAACGACGATCACGTCCTGTGGTGGAGGGTGCGAAATGAATCTTTTACATTTGCTGGTTTTGAAGTTTTTTCGTGAAAATTTAGTAGGTATCATGATTATAAGCATCTTTGGTAGATTGTTTGATCCGAAATGGGAAAGATCTCCTATTTATGAAAATATTTTTGGTATCATCTAACTGTTGCAATCAGTGCACAAACACTGTGACATATGATTTATAGCATAACCCGCTGCCCTATCAAGACAAATTTAACATAGAGGTCGCCTAGCCGTGGGGATGCAGTGGTCGGGATGAATATCACGGCAGTAACTGGTAATTTGGGCATGTCTCTTAACAACGTATGAAGTGAAACTCGCTAACTTCACAAATTTGAAGATTTTGTACAATATCTTTGAAAATGATGTCTGATTTGGCAGGGTAATGTCGCAGCCAAATGGCAGTCACTCTTTCTGACACAGTTCGGATCGAAAGATGACGATACTCGTGGAATGTATTGATACTTCTAAATATAGGATCGTATCGAACATCCCTACTGTCAAGATGTATAACCCAAGGTACCGACGGACCTATATTGCGGCATCATGGAAATAATTTTAAATTTTCATTTGCATTTTTTCAAGTGTTGTGCAATGATTTTGTGAAAAATGTCACGAATAGTCTTATAAAGCATAGTAGAGTATATTTCAACAGTTGGCGGAACTTACTCCACTGGGACCAGGAGGGTGAAACGGGATATTAATGCACAATCTGGCAACCCTGTCGCACCCTCACAAAATGGCCGCTGATAACCACACAAGTCACCGTGTTGTCATTGAATAACATGAAATCAAACCTTCAGAGTATATGTTTTGTAACTGGTACCAAGAGTTGACAGATCCCACACATGTCTCACTCCTTGAAATGCAATAATCAGCTGTATTCAAATAATGTCTAATATAAATATAACCTAGCTTGTGTACTCGTGAAAAAAGAAAGATATGGTAAATTTGTAGTTTTTTTTGCAGGTTTTAGGTTTGCTGAAGGCTTTAAGGCATATACTTAGGAATTTCTTAATCGCTGTGAATATAGTGTGGATGTTTTTTCAGTTCCTGAACAACGAAAAATATTCAACTTTATGGATGTATGGATATCAAAAATCCTGAATGGTTTTGTGGGATTATCAATCTAAGGTACCATAATGGTTCTGATGAATGGCAAGTAAATGAATGAATGTTTGGAAACGATCAATATCTTTTGGTAGAGCCTGTCATCAAGTAGGTGCTTAATGGCTATCTGCAAGGGGTTTATAGGAAAAAACACCCAGTATTACATATCAGTTGACTAAAATAATATAAACATGAATAAAAAATCAACAATAGTAATTAAAATATGAATTTAATTCAAAAATCAAACATTTCTTAAAATTTTGACTGATTTATATGTAATTTCTTAATATTCAATAAGCTGGTGATGTTTCAATGACAAGTTGTCATTTCATACTTTGACAGTATTTTGTTTTCAACATTTCATAGCTATTGGTTGCTAAAATTCGTTGAATGGAACTTGAAGCTCATTCGCTGTCTCTGACGGTCTGTTGCCCTATAGGTGGATAATAACGGACTGTTGTTGGTGAAATTGGGCCTAAGACTCTTAAAGAAATTCTGCCATTCTGTGTGTAGAGTAAGCGGCAAGGACTCATCCCACTTTTCGAGCGAATATCAATTTGAAACATATAAAAATCTTGTTTCGAGAGGCCTAGAATGCCTAAAGAATGAGTTCCTCCGTCTTTACCGATATTGACTATTACTTCGCGTTCATTTTCTACAATATGTTTGATCAAAATCTTCGTCCATTTTTCTTGTCATGGCCTAACGACTAGTACTAGGATGGCTCGAGGAATTTTGCTTGTTACTGGTAGTTTGAAAAACTCGTACTCTGTGGCGTAGAGCATGAGGGTAGGTATTGAAGAACGTGAAATTAATGGGAAAAAATCAACGAGCGACTACTATTATCAAACATTTATTGACATTTGTTGTCGCACATTACCGCTATTCTAACAGGTACTCAAAGCATAAGAAATTAATCAACTAATTAAGATAACGTCGATGAACATGGTAGCTGTATGTAGTTTAAACAGAATCCTTTATTGTCCAAATCATTAGGGGCTTCGACGCCGTCGGTGTGGAACCATAGGTAGAACGGTTTGACGTTGGCTAGAAATAAAAGGTAGGTATTATTCGATAACCAACAATTTGACAGGCCTGGGTGGAATTTTAAAGGAAGATTCTTGATTTTATCGGGAGAAGGATCGTTGTGAAGCTGAGTGAAAACAACAACTAGGAGATGAAGGTATATTATCGTGTGTAATTTATCTACGTCCTGACAAAAAATGTAGGCTACGAATATGCTCTCTGGGCGTTAAGTTCCAGTTTTAAGCCCACGGGCTGCTTAATGCCTTGAGAGGTATAATAATCTTAGTGCTTGCTATTTACGAGGTACTCTATGGTGACCATAAAAACTGATCTTGCTTATTCGTTGCTAGACGAGGACGCAATTTCTCGTAATTCAGTGGTATGCTCAATTATTTTTTATTTTCCATAACATTTTATCTCAGGCAAAGTAGGCATTTCTGTACCTTAGAGTGTCAAGAGCCTGCGCTTCCAGGCCAGTTACAAAGAGGTATTTAAAAAAGTGCAAGTGTGGCCAAGTTGCCTAATAATGCCTATTCTGTGCAAATAACTAACAGGCTATTACTACTTTTCTCTTATAACTGCTTATAATAATATAATAATAATTTCACCGCTTCAAAATTATCACTTCTAGTATACTAATTCTGGAAGCATTTTTGTCATATCGTTTCATTTGTTTTTCGACCCCATCAAGGGATGAAAATATCATGAACCCCTATGTTGTGTATTGTGTGAGAAAGCTATTAATATATAAGGGGTGCCCCGAAACTGAACTAGATTGTAAGATCTTGTATAGGTAAGAGTCTCATCGTTTTCGAGATTTTCGGCCTTCAACTTTTAAAAAAAAAACTGGCTTATATTCAGTTAATCACGTGTCATTGCTACAAATATCAACTTTTTTGAAGCACGTTTGTAAAGAGCGTTTCATCTCGTCCGTTATTAGTTTTCCTCAAGGTGGCAAAAACCCCACATAAAAGTCATGCCAAATCCAAATTCTTACTAAAACCCCTTCTTACGTCTGAATTTTATCAAGTACGATCACTATGCCAATTAGTGAAAAAAGTTGGGAATTTTTAATGGTATCTGTGCTATTCGTCTTCTGCGGCATTTTTCGCTTTATCGTAGCTATGATGGAGAAGTCCTCGTAGATATCTGAAAATAACAATTTATGGCTTGGACACAAAAACACACAGGACTAAAATCGATAATCTACATTTAAGCGGTTGATGCAATGAGCAACATTGATTGTTATGCATGACCTACATCTAGACATTTTTTTATATACAAAAATAACCGCTCAACTGTTGGAGGATGGCCCAATTTTGGAACTCAATCTTGGTATACAGTTCTCTAAACTAACCCCGATAAAAAGATTAATGGACTTATGTTTATAATTGAAGTGGTTTCGGTCAGACCGAGCGTGGTGTGCCGGAATATAACTGAATAATAGTATGTTGCGGCAGATCCTAATCATAATATTTATCCGAGCACATACAAGGATACTTCCTGGACTAGGCGTTCCATGCTCTTTTAAAGAATACTTTTAAACATCTTGAAGCGTAATGTCTTGTTTTTATTAGTTTTCTAGTTTTTGTACCTTGGGAGTTAATTGTTTCATTATGCCCATATACGAGTAAACGCTATGCGTGTACGCAGTTATGCATAATATCATTTACGGGGAATGCCAGTGTATCGCTAGGAAGGGTGCTCATTACATTATTATTAAATGTAAATTATCCTTCAACTTCAATCCTGTCCAATTTTTGTATCCAATCCATGAATTGTTATTTTCTGGTATCTATGAAAACCGACCATCCTCCATTATAACTGCGATAAAACGAAAAAACAGCAGAAGGCGTATAACAATAATAGCATTAAAACTTGCGACTAGCTGGTCAACTTTTTCATTTAATTGATACCGTGATTGAACTTGATCCTCTCACTCTAAAGGGTGCCAAAGACAGATGTAGGAAGTGGTACTGATAGAAATTTAGACTTTATCATGACTTTTATGCGAGTTTTTCGCCATCCCAAAGAAAGATAATACTGGACAAGATGAAGTGACTAATTCTGAGTATTTTAAAACGAACCATGACAAAAAAAGTTTGCAGAAATGGTGCGGGTTTAATTAAATATAAGCCTAGAAGTAAAATTAAATGCAGAAAATCTCGAAAACTATAAGACCTTTACTGGAACACAATTTTACTATTTTACCATGTCATAGACCATAACGTGACCTATAGTTCCAGGGCTATCCTCTAATTCCGGGACACCATCTATACAGGGTGACTTCGAAGTTGAGTCATTTATTTTAACAGTGAGTAGATCTGATCAAAAGAAATGTTTTTTTCCTTTACCATTTTTCTGGTAAAGTTAAAGTAACAAAGTTATAGCCCTTTGGAAGTTTGAGTACTGCCCTGTCTCAATAATAATATGTTCGTGTTTGGCGACAACGGATATAATCCGCCTGACTGGTTCATCGCATCGGAAACAAAAAAGCGAAAGAATTTGAAACGTTTATCACGATGTTTTTCGTCAGTCGATAACGCGTTAGTGAATAAATAGTAAGTGTTTGTTGCGTGGCTCAAACGAAATCAAAAATGGCACATGTTTACGAAAATGCTGAACTTGTGGACATGATTCTTATTTACGGGGGGGCAGTCTTTACAAAATGCTCCCGGATGCATCACGGATTTATGCGAATCGGTTTCCCAATCGAGTGCAACCAACCCCTCGTGCCTTTGTTAATGTAGTACAAAGTGCTCGTGAATCAGGTGACTTAAGACCTCACAGGTCAGGGCATGCTGCTCCAATACCGCACGATCAAATACAGGTCCGCACTGAAATACTTGTCGGGACGATACTTTATTAAACAAGGTAGCATTTTTGTTTTATTTATTTTTTTATTTTTACACACATATTTTGGTTTATCTTCCTTCTACAATCATTATCTGAAAATTAATGACTCAACTTCAAAGTCACCCTGTATAAGCCATCAATACTGACCCACATGATGGGAGCCTCATTACAAGGATTTTCAATACATCTGCCAGTTCACAAAGTTGTGCCGGGGATAAGTGGCATTGGCATACTTTAGTACCTTAAAATAAAATCGTATGCTATACCTGTGTATTGATCTACTGAGCTGGCATAACATAATACTGAGGGGAGCTTAACATTAACTCTGCTAGAAGGTAATTAAAACTTTATGAATAACACCTTCCACTAACCTGCGATATACAGGATGATTCACATGACGTGACAAAAAAGAAGCATCATACACAGGACCGCATTTTAAGGGGGGTCTTATATTTAACATTTTTTCCTTGAGGGCTTCCATTAAAAAGATACGGCGTGTTGAAGTTTAAAAAAACTAATTTTAATATCTTCAAAACCATCAGCTGGACTGACCTAAGATTTGATATGTTCGATTTACCTAAGTATTCTCCACATTCAATAGTCTTTACTTAAAATTAATGTGCGCCAGTGGCGGAGATACAGGGGATTAGTGGTACTATTTTTCCAAATAAAAATAGTACGCCACTGTTTTTTTTTCCTTCAATTTCCTACAAATCATTACTCTTGTGTTTCTTTCATAGATTGTATTGTTTTCGTAAAAATAAACAAAAACGAATTAGATAATCAAAGCTTTATTCCAATCAATATTCAAAAACCCCATTCTAACGGATACAAGTGCGGCATCCTTTTAATAAAGAAAAACGTATTTCCGCATAATTTGTTGTGGCTTGAATTTGATGAAGCGCAATATCTATTATTTCTTATAACTGATCAACGGTATTAATTTATTCAGCCTACACTACCTACACTAGTTGTTTAAAAGCGCCCCACAAAACAATCCAGGGGGCTCAAATCAAGAGACCTCTCAGGCCAATCTAAGGGTGCGTTTCTGCCAATTCATCGTCCAAAATAATTACTTAGCCATGCGGTAATGTAACGACGAACATGCGGTGGGACACCGTCGTGCTGATACCACATTCGTACTCTTGTTACTAACGGAACATGATTTGCTTTCTGAAAAAGTTAAGTATCAGATTTTATTTATTTGGTTTTGTGGTCAGATGAATCGCTTTTTACGAGGGGTGGAACTTTTAATTATCATAATGAACATCGTTGATCGTTAGAAAATCCCCGTTCTGCAAGAATCCACTCGTTTCAACACAGGTTTTCTGGAAATGTCTGGTGCGGCATTTTCAATGGCCAACTGTTAATGCACGTATTGCCACAACGTTTAAATGCAAACTGATGCTTAACTTTTTCAGAAAATTACATAGCAAATGATGGTGTTCCGTTAGCAACGAGAGTACGAATCTGGTATCAGCACCACGGTGCCCCACCGCATGTTCATCGTGACATAACCGCATGGTTAAACAATTATTTTAGACGATGGATTGGCAGAAACGGACCCGTACATTGGCCTCCGAGGTCTCCTGAACTGAGCCGCCTGGATTTTTTTTGTGGGACGCTTTTAAACAACTAACGTAGGTAGTGTAGGCTGAACAAATTAATACCGTTGATCAGAAATAATAGATATTGCGCTTCATCAAATTCAAGCCACAACAAATTTTGCGGAAATACGTTTTTCTTTATTAAAAGGATGCCGCACTTGTATATTTTTGAATATTTATTTAAATAAAGTTTTGATTATCTAATTCGTTTTCATTTACTTTTACGAAAACAATGCACTCTATGAAAGAAATACAAGAGTAATGATTTGTAGGAAATCGCAGGTGAAATTCGAAAAATTGCGCGTTTGAAAGAAAAACAATGGCGTACTATTTTTATTTGGAAACATTAATGCCACTAATCCTCTGTATCTCCGCCACTGGTGCACGTTAATTTTAAGTAAAGACTTTTGAATGTGGACAATACTTAGGTAAATAGAACATACCGAATCTTAGTTTATTCCAGTTGATGGTTTTGAAGATATTAAAATTTGTTTTTTTAAAATTCAACACGCCGTATCATTTCAATGGAAGCCCTCAAGGAAAAAATATTAAATATAA